CTGTCAACCAGAACCTTCCAGGAACTAGGTTTGCTGCATAGTCCTCTGACACCTGGTTTGGGGCTGCAGGGATGGAGGGGTGTGTGTGTGTGGTAAGGGGGAAGTGGGGGGGGTCGGGGCCCTTGTTTTGGAGGCGGGAACCCCACCGGATTGCACAGTTTGCGGGTCCAGTTCTGGGTCTGTGGCGTGGAGCCCTGCTCAAGTCGTTTCTCTGGGGAATCCCAGTGTGGTCAGGTGGGGAGCGCATGGATTAGAAGTCGGTCTGCCCGGGGCTCCAGCGTCCCCCGAAGTTTTCAGCCAGGCAGGGGCGGGGCTTCCGAGGAGGGTCCTGGAAGTTGGTTCCAAGGCCAGGTCTTTCCCGCTCAGCCTCAGCCCGGTCCTTGGGCGCCGCAAACAACAGCACACATGAAGTTCTCTCATTTTTGTGTGTGTGTGTGTTTTTTGGTATAGCACCCCACCTCCGCGCGCCGGCATCCTCTCCGTCTCCTTCCTCTTCCTTTCGTGGAGGCAGAGCTCCATGAGCTCCCCGTTTCCCCTTCCTCCTTTGCCAGTTCCCGGCAGTCGCACGTCTCCTCCGCTTCCTCCCAGGAAACGCAATGCCCTGGCTTCGCCCACCGTGCGGCCAGGCCCCGGTCCGCCGCGGGGGCCCCCCTCCCCTTGCCCGCGCGCCGGCGAGCGCTGCGCCGCGGCCCCGGGGCACCCGCCTCCCCATACCTTACATGGACAAATGCGTGCAGGCAAAGTCAGGAATTCAGGCCCCTGACGTCAGCCTCCAGCGCTCCGGGCACCGCACGGGAGACTGAGGGGAGGGGGTGGGGACGGTGGGGAGGAAGGAGGGGGAAAGGCACCAACCAGCAGCCGCTCCAGCCCGGCCGAAGTTTCACTTTTTGTCTGTGGGTTCGTTCCCGGGCCCCGCGCAAGCTTTCCCGGGATAAAGTAGCTTTAGCGGCCGGGAACAGCCGGCTGCTGCAAGGTAAGGGCTGGCTGCACGCTCCCCGGGGTGAGGGGCGCGCGCTCCCCGGAGCCCGGCGCAGGGCGCGGGGCCGGGCCTGTCCGGGACGGGGGACAATGGGAGGGGGCAGTGCCTGGGCACCTCCTCCTCCAGGGCTGCCTCCTCCTCCAGCCGCCACCGCCGCCGCTGCCCCGTCCGCCTCCTCCCTGAGGTATTGTTGCAAATCCTCCTTCCTTCCCCCCACCCCCCTCCACCCTCCGCCCGCGGGTGCCGCAGGAACCCCCGGTCCTACCCCGGCGCGAGCGCCTCGGGGGTGGCTGGAGCGCGGGGTGCAGCGCGTGCTGCCCCGGCCGCCAGGCCCGTGGTGCGGAAGTGCGGGCCTCGGCCCAATCACGGGGTGCACCCCGTAAAGGGAGGGGGGGATTGGAGGTGGGGGAGCATGGGGATCTAGAATTTATAGGAAGGGGGGTTAGCTTCGACTTCGGGACTGGGCGGGGTTGGAGTCTTTTCTCCGAGCGCCCCCCCTGCCTGGGCTTTTCTGGGCGCCCAGGGGGCGGGGCCACGCCTAGCAGCTCCGCGCTTTCGCGGAATCACAGTTGTCACGGTGCAAAGGGCCCTGGGACTCAGTCTTTCTGGCCTTCCCATTTCACAGTCTGGGAAACTGAGGTGCAGAGGAGAGGATCGTCTGTGAAGGCATCCCTTTGAGGCAGGGTTGGTATTAGAATAGGTGGCTTAGGACCCCTTCCTTAGTTCCTCTGTGTGTGTGTTTTGTGTGTGTGTGTGTGTGTGTGTGTGTGATTTAGATAGTGTAGGTCGATTGGGCTCAGACTTTGCCCTCAGGGAGCGCTCTCTTAGAAGAGCCCAGTCAGAGTCAGAGTAGGAAGTGCTGGGGGAGAATGAGTAACTCAAGTTCTACAGGGGAGTTAGGGGACTAGCTTGATTTTGAGGGCCTTCGGGAGGGACTCGAAATGGCCCTTGGAGGGGATTGTTGTTAGTCAGGGCTTTTGAAGATTGGGGAGTGTTCTGAAGTTTGACACACTCGTGGATGAAGGCCATCCCAAGCCATCGCAGACCAGTCAGGACTATAGGGTGGGGAGAACCATTTATGGTGTTTTGTTGGGGCTTGAGGTTTGGTGAAGGGGTCGGAAATCATGTCATGCCCTGAGCAAGTCAGTGCAGGGTAGGTGGACTAGGCAGTGTCGTGGGTTCTAAAGGAACAGTAATATTTTAACTGTTTCCCTCTCCCCCAGAAGGGGGTCCACTGCTTCCCCTCCCAACTGGAAAGAGTTAACAAATGCTCAGAGTCAGTTAGGTCCCTATAACCACACTCCTTTAACTTTATTTTCAGTCCCCCTTTGTCTTCTCACTTCCCACCCTGAGGCCTCTCCAATTAAAATAAGAAAAAAAGCAACCTTTCTTAAAAGGTGTTAGTGACTTAATGTTTCACCTCTCTTTGATATGTGCATTTTAAGAAACCTTTTAGGGGAAGGGAGGGAAAGTGGATTGGGGGTTCTCTAGAAAGAGCTAATCCATGTTCTCTGGGGTAGGGAAAGGAAACAGAAGTCCACAAAAGTGGGAGCCAGCCCTGTAGCTTCAGTGCAGTTCTCCTGTCCCATCTAGAACCCCCTCCTTGAAAGTTTTGTTTTTGTTTTTTTGCCAGCACCAAGGTAGTTAAAAAGATTTTTTGCCTTTTTAGAAAAATCTTTGCGGGCAGTCCATCAGGCCCAGGGCTTAAAAGTACAAGATAGGTAGATGGGATTAGCTGTAGGACTAGTAGGAAAGCAAGTCTGGGGTCTCTAGGTCTGGCTGTCTCCAGCTTCAGGCTCCTTGTAAGCAGTATGGAGTCTGGAGTTGGCTTTGGGGATTGGCAGAGGGAGGAGGAAGCTAAGCTGCTGAGCTGCTTATTATGTCTGAGACTTAAATAGGACCCTTCTTGGCAGGGCACATTCTGGTGGAGAGGCCATTCCTCTCCGACAGAGATTTCCAGGCAGAAATGGGTGGGTGAGACTTAATTATGAAGGGCTTTAGACATACCAAGCTCTGAGTTTGGGTATGACTTGAAGCCATCAATTGAGGAATTTTAGCAGGCTAGAACATGCTTCAGGGGGAAATCCTGGCCATTGGAAAGCCTGCTTTTCAATTTCAGTGAGAGAGGCAATCATTTGGCTTAAGATCCTTATCATTGAGTGTTTGTCCATTTATCTAATATGTGTTACTGAGCACCTACTAGGCCCGTCTGTCAAATATGAGAATTTTATCTCAGGTTCCTGTTTTTATTGAGACAAATTCTATTAGGTTATCTTGAATACACGTCTTTTTTCATATTTTGGTATCGCTGAACTCAGTTTTATAATCAAAGAGGTGTCATTGTAGAATAGTTTGTTATATTCTGAGTTGATATTGATCCATCTTATAGTTGCTGGTTTACTTTTTGATTTATTTTATGTGGATACTGGAGCTTGAACTCAGGGCTCCATGCTTTTACCAGCTTTTTTGCTCAAGGTTGGCATTCTACCACCTGAGCCACCCTTCCATCTCTTTTCTGCTTAACTGAAGACGGGTCTCACAAATTTTCCTTCTTGGATGTGCTTTGAATCCCAGTCTTCAGATCTCAGCCTCCTGGGTAGCTAGGATTATAGCGGTGAGCCACCAGAGCCTTGCTAGTTAGTAATTTAAATTTGACACAGTTTGTTACTCGTGCCATCAAGGTATTTGTCTATTCATCTTTCTATCTACCATCTATCAATCTATTTAGTGTGGGTCTAGTTGACAACCCTTAAATTTTTTACTTAAGGCTGGCACTCTACCACTTGAGGCATAACTTACCTTCTAGCTTTTTGGTAGATAAGAGTTTCAGGACTTTCTTGCCTAGGTTGGCTTCAAATCTTGACCCTCACATCTCAGCCTTCTGAATAGCCAGTTTTGTAATCCTCAGCCATTGGTAATCTAGTGAATCATGTTCTTTATAATTATAGTACTTTGTACTGTAAAGGTACTTTCTACCAGATGGTCCACTTAAATGTATTCAAGCATCTGAGAATCAGTGCCACCTCCATTTTAACCCTTGTCCAAGGGTTAAATTTGGGATGGGCTCAAAATTATGACTCCAAACTTGTGTTTCTTTGTGATAACATGCAACTTTACCTGCCATATACCTAGCATAGTTTGACTGGAAATAGGACAGAGCTAGATTGATTTTGAGTTGAGAACAATGGTTTATAGTGCTGAATGATGAAATATTGGTCAAGTACAGAGTAACTTGGGAGGACTGGAAAGTTCCCTCACCGTGAAGATTTGCTGAATTAGAGAAAGAAGATAGAAGCTGGTAGGTAACATGATAGAACCAGAATCTGGAGATACATGAAGAGATTGGTACGTAAAGCACATATAATTGTCCTCACTGTGAACCAGGGCCCAGGTAGATCTTGGGAATCCAAAGATAAAGGTCAAGTTCACGTGTGTGTGTGTGTGTGTGTGTGTGTGTGTGTGTGTGTGTAGGGGAAGATCAGTGTATTAATGTTGTTACAGGGTATGTTTATTCTGTGGAGGGGATGATCACCCTCAGGGAAGCTATCGTAGATGAGTGCTATTAGAATGAAATCTCTAGGACTAAATTGGAGTTGGACAACTGAGGAAGGAAAGGTGACAGAGGGACCTACCAGGCAAAAATAGCACCATATGCAGATACACCTGCATATACAGATAGAAGAAGGTGGCCTGTTTTTCAGACTGTATTTCAAAAGGCCCACACAAAGAGGACTGTGGGAAGTGGAGTAGGGGGTGAATTTTCATTTTTTGCTAAGTAATGTTTAAATTTATCTAGTGTAGATGATAGGGGCCATTAACTGGTCCTCTAGAGATTCATGATTCACAGGAGAACAAGGCTGAGCCGAGGCTCTGGAACCTTCTCTGTGGGGTTAAGTATTTGATAGTAATGCAGGAGCCATAGCAACACTTTTAGTAACCGGATGAGTGAGCCTGAGACTTTGACCGAGGGCAGTAATGAGGCCCTCTTAACTGCGTACTTGCATTGGTGGGTGGGGACTTTTCCTGGAACTAGGCTTTGGAATGCTACACTGCTTTGCAAGAAGAAACTTGCTAGAGGAAAGGGGATCTAAAGTGGTGCAGCTGCATACAGGAAGCTGAATCTGAGTGGAAATCCATTGGCTTGAAGGTGAGGCTCATACAAGAGGTGGTCAAGGAAGTGCATTGTGGGAGTTTGCTGTAGTTGGTGAGAGGCTTGGAAGAAATGGCCATGTTCCTAATGCATGTGGCATGAATGAGACTGGTGGGGGTGAGTGACCAACGGTCAATGGAGATCATTCAGGTAAACCATAAAGTCAGGGCTAGAAAATGTTTATCTTCCTATCATTTCAAACATTCTTGTGTGCTTATCATATGTGTATATCATTACTATATTGATTGATTATGTATGACTGCTATGGTTTGGATGTGACTTGTTCTTCAAGGGTATGCACATATGTTAGAGGTTTGGTTCTTGGTGTGAGGATGTGAGACTGGGCCTAGGAAAAGGGTCCTTAGTGGGTGGTCCTTAAAGGTATGTACTAGGAATGGATTAATGGAGTTCCCTGGAATTCTGAGAACTAGTTGTTACAGGAGAGCCAACCCAGCCTCTGATTTGCTCTTTGGCTTGCTTTTGGGTGGTGTGATATCTTTTCCACTTGCATGCCTGTTATTGTGGTATCATCTTTCACCAGGCCTTCACCAAGGCTGAACAGATGCTGGCAGTATGCTTTTAAACTTCCGTAACTATGAGCTAGGTAAATTTCTTTTCTTTATAAAGTTCTCCAACCTGGGTGCTGGTGGCTCATGCATATAATCCTAGCTACTCAGGAGGCTGAGATCTGAGGATCGTGGTTCAAAGCTAGCCTGGGCAGGAAAGTCAGTGAGACTCTTATCTCCAATTAACCACCAGAAAACCAGAAGTGGCATTGTGGCTCAAGTGGTAGAGTGCTAGCCTTGAGCTGAAGAGCTTAGGGATAGTGACCAGGCCCAGAGTTCAAGCCCCATGACCAACCAAAAAAAAAAAAAAAAGTTTTTCAGCTTCAATTATTAAGTAATAACAACTGAAAATGGTTATCTTTTTTTGAGATGCTTTCTCTTTTAAGAAGTATTTAAAATTTTTATTATAAAGATGATGTATAGCGGGGCTATAGTTACGTAAGTCGGGCAAAGAATACGTTTCTTTTGGACAGTATCATCCTTTCCCTCTCACTTTCACATATTTTGCTTTAGTTCTCTAAAAGCGCTATGGTTTCAGTGGTTTGGTTTGGATACGTGTGTGTGTTTGTGTGGATTTATTTGGGTTACTGTCACTGGTGCCTGCCCCAAGCTCCTTGATCTTTCCTAGCTTCAGATTTCTTATTTGCGACAATTCCTTACTCCTCATCTTACCTTTCTACTTTTAAATCTACTTATTTTTGCTTACCTACTTATTTTTGCTTACTCTGACAGTCTTGGAGACATTACCAGGCAGATCTCTTGTCTTTTCCCTCTCTTTAAAACCTGCCCATCATAACCCATCTGTCAGAACCTGGTAGTAATTCATAGCCTTTGTAGCTCTTTTTATGTGGCAAGTGCATTTTACAATCATTTTTATGACTTAGTTCCCAATTGCAACTCAAGAGATGGTTTGGCAAAGATCTGCCTGATTTCATGGAGAATGGGCACAAATTCAAGGGTGGAGAAACCTTCCTCTGAGGTTTAGGTTTTAAGTAGCATCATAAGACTTGAACTCCTGTCTCCAAAACTTCTGTCCTGCTGTTTGACTTCTGCAAGAGAGTGTGAAATAATTGCCACTGACATCCTCAGCATGATCCACACACAGATAGAAGCTGTTATTATTTTCTTAGTTCTGTCTAGTAGTGTTGGCTGCCCGGGTCTGAGGCTTTGGAAGACAAGATAGTATTAGATTCGTGATTATGTAGCTCAAAAGTCTAGGTTTTACCATGTTGTCATTTTGGCAGTGTATCTTCACCATTTAATTTGTTCAAGGGAAAACAAAGACATGTGTTTGGGCCATTCATGAGCTCTATGATCTTAAGTTGTGGAATATCCACAATTTTCAGTTGCCATGAAGGTATGATATATCACATGCTATATCATGTGATTATATAATATATGAGATCATACGCTAGATCAGGTGATATATCATGTGATCATATGATATACGATACCACATAATATATCACATGCTATATCATGTGATCATATGATATATGAGATCATATGATATATCACAGTGTACTTGTGAAAACTAGCTAAGTTCCTGTGGCAGCACTTTGTAAGCTATAATATAGGATGAACATGTGGCCCAGTTCAGGTGCCCAGCTGGGTCTCTGGCACACAGTGATGGCTCCTTTCTCTGCTAGTGAGGATCATGGGCTTTGGATCTAGACAATTCCAAGTTCAAATACTCAATGTTTCATTTAAACAGAGGGAGCTTCCCTAGAGTGGTCACAAGCACTGCTTGGATTTCTGATTTATTTTTATTAATGAGGGCACCACTGTTGGAAATAGCATGCTACAAAAAAAGTGTGGTGAGATCCAGAGATAATCTTTCCAGGTGGTATACAAAGTGACTTGTCACCAGTTGAATGACTATGCAATGTATTGCACTCTGAGTTAGATTTTCATTTATGTTGAGTTTGTAGTTTTTAGTCCTGTGAGATTTTTCTTCTATGAGTGGCCTTATACTATGGCAGGACAGCTCCCAGGAATGCAAAGGAAAAGCCAATGTTGAATGGCAGAGCCAATCTTTCTCAAAAACATATGTGAAGCTGGGTGTCAGTGGCTCAGGCCTATAATGGTAACTACTCAGGAGGCTGAGGTCTGAGGATCACAGTTCAAAGCTGGCCTGGGCAGGAAAGTCTGTGACACTCTTATCTTAAATAAACCACTAGAAAGCTATGGCTCAAATGGTAAAGTGCTAGCCTTGAGCTGAAGAGCTGAGGAACAGCACCCAGGCCCAGAGTTCAAACCCCACAACTGACAAACAAACAAAACATATGTGACAACCTTTCAGAAACCTTACCTTTTTAGATAAGCATGAGAATCAAGCTAGGTCACCGTCACTGACCTAAAAGTTTTGTGATTTTGGCCTCTTGCCACCCTCCAGATAGACATTTTTCACTCTATAACTTTTTTTGGTATTCCATTGTTACTAGGTCAGCAGCCAGTACGCAGTAGACATTAGAGATAACTTCTTGCCCTAGGGGGAGATAGCTAGGGTATATGGAGTATAAGTTCCTTGACATTCTTAAGAGAATTTATTTTATTTATTTATTTATTTATTTTTGGTGATGGTGATGGTGATGGGAGAGCTTTCCCTTAGCTTTTTTTTTTCTTCTCAAGGCTGGCACTTTACCACTTGAACCACATCTTCACTCTTGGCTTTTTCCTGGTTAGAGATAAGGTCTCATGGATTGTTTCTGCCTGGGCTAGCTTTGGACTGTGATCCTCAGATCTCAGCTTTTTGAGTAGCTAAGATTACAGGCGTGATTCACTGGTACCTGGCTTCCTCGGCATTCTTTTTTAAAGTGTATTTTATTTTATTTATTTTTATTTTGTGCCCAATCTGGGGTCACTGTCCTTGAGTTTTTGTGCTCAAGGGTAGTGCTGTATATCTTGAGCCACCAGCACCCAGCAATCCTTGGCATTCTAAAGAGAACTTTTATTTTTTGCATGTTAAAAGATTTTTATCTTTAAGGTTAACCCCAATTTCCTTACATATAAAAATGCTTACTTCACTGATAGACTGATCATATTGATTGGCCCAGGACAGCTTCAGTTTATTTCCAGCCTATGTTCTTGTAGTAGAAATACTTTTCCCTTTCATTCTCAGAGGTGTTCTGAGTGGAGAATAAAGTCTATGGTTACATGTGAGTGTTGAGTTCTATAGAAAATGCCAGGCCTAAGTTAAAGGCTCAACAAATATTATAATTATTACAATAATTATTGCAAATATTTCATTACAGGAGGTACTAGGTATTCTAGAAATGTCTGTTGAATGAACTACATGTATGAAAGAGTTCAAATGTTTGAAGGTGAAGTCAAGATTGTGGGCTGTATGGGGCATGCTGGACCATGTACTTAAGTTTGGTGGAAGTGCTAGCTTTCCCTGAGAAATCAAAGAAGAACATGAAGGCTGGGTTCTGGTGGCTCACGCCTGTAATCCTAGCTGCTCAGGAGGCTGAGATCTGAAGATTATGGTTCAAAGCCAGGCTGGGCAGGAAAGTCCATGAAACTCTTATCTCTAATAAACTACCAGAACACTGGAAGTGGCTCTGTGGCCCAAGTGGTAGAGTGCTAGTCTTGAGCTGAAGAACTGAGGGACAGCACCCAGGCCCAGAGTTCAAGCCCTATGACTGACCAAAAAAAAAGAAAAAAGAAAAAAAGAAGGACATGAAGGCTTAGACTAAAATTCATTTGGGCAGTTCAGGTGCTGGTGGCTCACCCTTGCAATCCCAGCTACCCAGGAGACTGAGATGCGATTGCAGTTCGAAGCTAGTTGAGGCAGGAAAGTGTGTGAGACTTATTTTCAATTAACCAGCCCCAAAGCAGGAAGTGAAGGTTTGGCTCAAGTGGTAGAGCCTTGAGCAAAAAAGCTGAGGCAGAGTGCCTAAGCTTTGAGTTCAAGCTCTAGTTGTATGCATGTGCATGTGCATGAACCAGCTTGTGTACACACACACACACACACACACACACACACACACACACACACACACACACACACAATGAGGGAGCCTAATTTGCTCTGCTATTAATAGTTAAGAAATAAGATTGATTCTCTATCCATTGAGTACTTTAGCTGGGTTTCTAATGTATTTTTCATGCAGTGGTCCATCTTGATAATAATCTCTTTCTATAACTGTGTAAAGTCCAATGCTGTACTAAATTCAGTGCCAAGAGGTCACCAGTCACCTACACTTATTCTTTCCAGTGAATTTCCACTGAAGACAGATCTTGTGTAGTTCCCAGCAAGAAAACAATTTGGTTGGCACTTGTCTTGTTTGGTATGAAAACTAATCATTTTCAGGAACTGTAGTAAGAGTTGCTACCCAGAAGGCAGGGTGTTCCCTGAGTCATGGGAAAGGTAAACTTTGCAGTGACCAGGTAGGTAAGTGGCACTTTTTCTTAGATGGAGGTGAAAGGTAGGTCAGCGTTCCAGTAGCTGGCCTTTTCCACCTTGGCAGTCTTTCTTATTGGCTGCAGTTTAGCAGCCTCTCTTGGAGAATATTAGTATTGGCAGTTGGACAAGACCCTAAATATACATTTGCCCATCAATCTGACACATTTGTGTATTCA